TTGGGCATCCAAATCTCTTAACTTTAAAATCTCAGCCACTAGGTGCCTAACTTTAGTCTAGTGTTTTTTAAATCTTGGCCTATCAGTGCAAAATACCATACAAGTTTTCCCTTTAGTGTGAAAATAATTTGTTGGTCATATTGTGGGAGAGGGACAAAATCCTGCCGGACATTTTCACAAGGTAGAAAACTCACTTTACTTGCTGCCTTCATAGACATTGTACTTTTTCCACCCATGACATTTCCGATAAAAATAAATTCACACTTCATAATCTTACCGATCAGTTTGTAAAGACATTGATTTTTGTCATTGATTCTGTCATCCCCAGCATAGTCTTGCCTTTCACAGTTTCAAGACTCCACAACTACTTTGGAAATGTAGCTTCCATAAGACTGCTCCCTAGGGAGTGGATCTGGCAAACACTTAAGCACCTTCATAACCTCATTAAATGCAGTGGGCTCACTCACATGCAAAAAGTTTTTCATACTTAAATGTTAGCAGGAGATGAACTTATGAGAACTTTGTAGAGAGACAGGCTATGTGCATCACAGATTTAGGCCCTGGTGCAGGAAAGCATTTAAGCATGTGCTTGACTGTAGGTATGTGCATACATCCGGTTGGCTTCAGTGATGTAAGCACAAGCTTAAAGTTGAGCAAATGCAGAAGTGCTTTGTTGAAGAGGGGATGGACTTAAGCATGTGCATAAGTGTTTTGCTAAATAGAGGCCGTAATACTTTGGTCACCTTAGAATCAGGAGGGAACTGACCACTTCCCTCCCTAGCCTTCCCCACGGTATGAGTAATGGATCTACCAGTCTTAGCAGACTACATGCACCATCCTTCCAGCAGCAATGCCATCTGGGATGTCATTTGATGAATCTCATCAGCTAAGCAGCAGACTGGAGTCTGATCAATACTTGGAAGGGAAACTCCCAAAGAAAACTCAAGTGCTACGGGGAGTATCGATGGAGATTCAGTTAGTGGCACTCTGAGTCTGTTATTGAGCCAGTGCCGTGGCATGCTGGAATGTGCCATTTGTATGAGATGCAAATGGGAAATCTTGGAATAAGACTGGATTTTGGATTGAGAGGCTGCAGGTCTTCCTCCTTGAATCCAGGGGAAAAGTTGCTAGTGAGAAGGATTGAAATGTTGGAAGCTGGGGTAAGAGAGTCAATTCAGAATAATGACATAGCAGAATGTTCTGATGCCTGGCTGGTTGTGGGAGGAGGAGGAAGAGGGGGTAAGGGGAAGGGAGGGAGAAGTACCATTTGCACAAATAAATGGATAAATACAGCAGACGTAGATCCTAAAGTGAGAAGGGGGCTTGTCGAGTCAGCCCCCCTGCATATCGCAGCTCATGGAACCTCCCTGAAATAATTCCTGTTTGAATTGGGCCATGTGCATCTTTGGTGCAACTTCAGTGATTATGCTAGAGTTGAATTTGGCCCTTAAGGCTCAATCCTCCTTCTGCTGAAATCAGGAGGAGTTTTATGGGAGTTGGATTGGACCCGTAAGGATGGATGAATTTGGCCCAATAGCTCTACAATTAAGCTAAATTCCAGTCCAGCCATACACTTTAATCTCTCCCCACTACATCACCGGTGACAATTTCTCAAAGACTGTTTGGAGCTGTCTGTGGGCATGTCTACACTGCAGTCACAGAGTGCTGGTGGCACGTGTAGACAAACCCCAGCTAGTTTTAATGTAGCTAGCTAGCTTGGAGCAGTCAGGACACAGCAGTATGCGTGTTAGCACAGGCTGTACAAGCCCACCCCAGAACCTCAGATAATTACTTGTGCACACTGAAGTCTGTGCTGCCGTGGCTTTGCTGCTATCACACCCTGTGATGGCAACATACCCTTTGATTCCTCTCTCTCTCTCTAGCTCTTGCTAAGCCCTGTTCCTTCTTCCTCTACCGTATCTATGCAATCCTTTCCTTCCTCTTGATATCCATCCCTGATTCCCTGGGCCTTGTCTGAGTTAATCCCCCCTTTACTATGACAACCTCCTTCTCTTTGTCTTCCGATATGTCTCACCTCTCCCTTTTATTGTTAACCTTGTCGCTGTCTTTCGTTGCCCCCCTGGTTACATCCTCTCCCTAACCAGTGATGCCACTTTTGGGGCTGTGGGGCCCCAAAGGAGAGGCGGTTGTAGGTGCCCACCATTGCTGGAAGTTGTCACTCTCTGGGAATACTTTTCACCACCAAAGGCTGCATGAATCTAGCCCCGTGTTTGTTCAACACTTGCAACGTGAAAAGTGGTCTATGACTGCCAAAAGCTGTCATTCAGCGAGGATGGTCCCATTTTGTCCTTCTAATGAAAACAACCATTAAAGAAATAGGGTGTTAATCATAACGAGTAGAACTCTAAGTTCCCAGAAAACATTCAATGGGCAATAAATTCACATCCAGGGTTGGGTACAACTTCTGTGCCCAGAGCCTTGCCAGTAAACGGAGGAGGAAATACATTAAAGTTTTTATGGCAGCTGAAACCCAGGCATTTCCTAGAGCAGCGCCTACTGACAAAAAACATAGAGGCTGGGCCTTCATTTATTTAATTGTTTTAGAACAGTAATAAACTTGAGCTCAAAATGGAAGCTTTCTTTAGTTTTACAGCACCTTAAATGTATTCAGCACTGTACAATAGGTAAAACGAGCTGCATGGATAAGAGATCCCTTCCTTGAAGCACTTACAGGCTAAAGACAAGAGACTGCTGTGATACTCAGCCAAACACATGCAGAGCACAGGGTCGATTGTATGCATCAAAAGCATCCGAGAACAGGACCTGAGGAGTTCTTTGGAGGAACAGGAGGATGCTTGGGGCCAATCCTATGAGTGAGAGGCTGAGCACCCTCATTGCCTACAGAAGTCGATGGGAATCGAAGGTTCTCAGCAGCTAGCTGAATCAGGACATGTGTGATCATTGACTAGGCTGTTCTAAGCATTAGGGTTGGCTTAAAGAATAATTTCATTCATTAAATAATTACAAGTATTCAGGCATAATGAAATCACTGCATAGGTCTTTCAAAATCCTATTGCCCTGCTTGGTTCTTTATTGCTCAAGCCGTTAGATACTATGTGTGTGAGCCCCAGAATGCAGTGCGTTGGTTCCACAGAGTGCTGAAAAGCTATTATCTAAGCACAGAAGCACTGAGCAGAAGTCAGTGACGTAACCCTGTTTGTAGAAATGCGCAAGTCAGATCAGAATTTGGGCCCATTGTTTAGTGAAAGCTCGCTGGAACACCATGCTATCCCTTGCTTAAAAGGTCACTTCTGCACGTAGGCAAAATTTACAACATACACTTTGCAGCAGTCCCAATAATCTATTCCTAACTTCCTGTTATAGTTTCCTTATTACTTACTATTAACTACAAAAGCCTTTCTATGTAAACGGAAGCATTCTCTTTCCTAATCACCATGCTCCTGCTATTCCCAGATTCATTTATCCATTCATGCAATGATTCATTCAGTTCTTTCACATCCACGGGAGCAATTGTGAGGTCACAAATGCTTGACTGTGTCATCAGATCTATGAATCATGAAGGAAGAACCTGGCCATGAAAAGGAAAAGCTTATGTTTATTCACAGACACTTACATAACCAGCAATCCTGGGAAATGAAAAGTCCGAGAAAGTTCATGGCAGTTTAATGGGGTTGTGATCAAATATTAACATTTCAAGAGCTTGCTGGAGCATGGCTGTGGTTTGTTCAGGCTGCTAGTGACTTGTCTTTTTATGGAGTGCCATGTGGCTGGCAGAATAATCTACTGATTGAAGGAAAACATATCCTGGTTCTTTTTATTTTATATAAAGATGATAATGCAGCTGTATGACCTTAGGCTGTGATCTTGTCAGATAAGCAATTGGCTGTGAGACCTATAGGGCAAACCAAGGTGCTGCAGGAAATGTTTTTTGATTAGCCGTACCGTAGAAATTGCCATTCTGAACCAGAACCAATGTTCATCTAGTGCAATATCCTGTCTCTGACCAGTACCAGATACTTCAGAAGAAGATATAAGAGATGTACGTTAAAGGCGAGCTTCTCCCCCCCCCCCCCACACTCTTGGAAGTTAGTGGTTGGCTAGTACCCTCAAACATATATATCCTTTATAAATTTTCTCCTATCTGATGTAACTGTGGATGTTCATATTATTCATGTACATGCCTGATCCTGTTTTGAATCCTCTTACGCGCTTTGCTTCAGTAATCTCTTGTGGCTGTTTGTTCCAAGGGTTAGTTTTACATTGCGTAAAAAGACTCATTAGCTATTCTTCTTCTCCATCTGAAGCAGGATTGAATAAATGTTGCTGGGGCACACTGGGCTGTGGATGTGCCATCTTTCAAGGGAGATTTACAGCTCTGGTCCTGACCTCTGGTGATCCTTTCAGATCCCATAGCACTTTTAACAATAATTGGGAAGTTATTCCAAGTGTCTTGGCCAAGGATCACTAAGTGCTTATGACCATTTATGAACGAGGCCTCCTAAAACCCCAGAGAGTGAAGTATTACTATAGGTGGGAAATTTAGGCAGAAGATGCTAAGTGACTTACCTGAAGTCACACGTTAAGTCAGTGGCAAAACCAGGAATAGAATTTTGGCGGTTCTAGGTTCCAGACCTGTGCTTATACTACTTTGATTGTAAACCCCTTGGGCAAGGACGTTTCTGTTTCTTCTTTGTTTGTACAGCTCCTAGCACAATGGGGTCCCAGTCCATGCCTAAGCTTTTAGGTGCTGTGGTAATACAAATAATAATAATAATAGTCATTATCATAGAACATGATTTTCTATTAAAACTGTCCATTTGCTCAGTAAGCCTTGGCAACAGGAATATGCCATGAATGTTAACATATGCATAGTTTATAAAGCAAATGAATGATGCTATGTGTAAAATGTTGTTCTTGATAACAAAAATGGGTATAGCAGCTTTCATAGACCTATATCCACACTTGAAGTACAGGTACAGAAAGGATATATTTTGAGACCAATCTTTTCCTTCTTTCAGGGGTGCGTTTTCTGAAGTAGTTTTGGCTGAAGAGAGGGCTAGTGGAAAACTATTTGCAGTCAAGTGCATCCCCAAGAAAGCACTGAAGGGGAAGGAAAGCAGCATAGAGAATGAAATCGCAGTCCTGAGAAAGTAAGTATTGAATACACGCATCCCCTTCTACGATTTGAATTGGCGCGTTTGTCCGCTCTGCGGAGCAGGAAGGGCTGTGGTCAGTGAACGAGAATTGTGATTTGTAAATGTGACTGAGTTGCTCAGCTTACTGCAGGTGGTTGGGAACGTCTGGGCATAAACTGTGCTGTAAATGGTTTCAGAAATTATCTCTTATCCTTGTGCATTAATGCAGCTAGGTTAATGCATGGGAGGAGAGGGGGGCGGGGAATGGGTCAGGGGAGCTTAAGATCCCGTAAATGAGGCCTGATCCTGCCTCCACTGAAATCAATGGTGATTTGGCCATTGACTTCAGCGGGAGCAGGATCAGAGTCATAGATTAACTGCTCTCAAGCAATCCGAAGCCAACCCTCACTCCATGTGATGCAGACTGTTTTTGTTGGTGGCGGCACCTTGTATCCCTGAGATTAAACATGCCCATCTTTGTTATTGAGTTCTCAGCACAGTTTCATTGTAGCTCATTTGTGCATCTCGTATAGTTTCCTCTCATCATTTACTGCAACATTTGACTGCTAAATTCAATTCAGTGTGTCCTATTTTAACATTTCTCATGATAAGGCAGGATCGCTGGGAAATAGATGTAACCATTTAGGGCCCAATCCTTGCATTTTTCACACACAGTCCAAACTCCTACTGACTCTGATGGGAGGTTTCGGTGTGCAAAGACTGCAGGATCAGGCCCCAAGTCTTGATCATTTATAAGGTACACAGTGATAATCATTTCAGCAGCGTGCAACTAAACCAATCCCAAACCTTCAAATCAGAAGTGCCACAACCATGCTAAAGACACAGATAGCAAGAGCTGAAAGATTGGGGCAAAAGGGCAAACTCAGTCACTCTCAGGCAAACCATCCCAGTAGCTGAATGGGATCCATTCCCATGGAGTGAAGTGGATGGGGCTCCATGGGGCCTCAGGGGTCTGCCCCTTTTGCAAGATCAAGGCTTAAATTAGACCCCCTACAACAAAAACACGTAGGGTTCAGGCACAAGAGTGGGAGGGGGCTGCCCCAAAGAGGAGATTGGCAAGGGAAGGTTGAGAGAAAGAATTGTGTTTTAAGGAGCGAGTTGCAGGAGGAAGAACAGGTTGTTGATATAACCATAGGTCTCAAACCCGGTCCCGCAAGGTTTATTGGAACAGCCACACTCCAGCCCTCTACCTGGCAGCATGCTGACAATGGCTTACCTGGGAGCCATGAAACCCAGCCCCAGTGTGAGCCTCTGCCCCTAAGGTCCAGTTGGCAGAGTCCCAGAGTGGCTATTTGGCCCCTGGCCCTTCCTAAGCCAGCAGTAGGATCAGGAAACTGTCTGAACAACTAGGCTGTGCCTTGCTCTAGACTCTGTGCCTTGTGCTACCTGCTCCTGCTTCTCCTGCTTGATTTCCTGGTATCTCAACCCAGCTTGACTCCTGGCTTATGACTTGTGGTTCCCGACCTCCAGTTTGTCTCCTGTCCCTTACCCCCTGGTATCCTGACCCGGCCTGATTATGGAGTTCATGCCTCGTGGTTCTGATCTCCAGTTTGTCGCCTGCTTCTGACCTCCTGGTCTCCTCACCCAGCCGACTCCTGTCTTGTGACTGTGGACTCTGGCTCTGACTATTAGGTCTTGCCGCCCACGACCTGGCTGTGACCGTTGTGTATTGTTGCCAAGCAACAAAGCTCATCTGCTGTTTAGTGGCCACCTCCAGGCAACAGGGGCCAGCAGCACAATCAGGCAGCCTAGAGTAGATGTTGCTTCGATGGAACCATCCACCGATGTTTACATCTTGGTACGAGACTGGTAATTTCCCTACAGTAATGATGGCTTTGCATAAACCTTGACCCCGGGAATGCAGAGCAGACAAATCATTTGGGGTCATTTATTGCTTCTGTTTTGTAAAGTATTTCTCCTGTTTTCTGACAAAGCACTTCTTGAGAGAAGAGACGGCAACAGCACAGGCTACACCATTCGAACTGCAATGGCAAAGTAGCATGTGGATGAAAAACACCTTATTTGTCGTACAGTTAGATCCACTTGGTCTGCTGCCCACTCAATGGCAGATTTAAAGTTAGTGGGGCCCTGTGCTCAGCTCCATTTTTGGGGCCCCTCCTTGGGACCCGCCCAAGAAAAAGAACATTCTCTCTTATCTCTCCCCCAGCCCCGTAGTTCATTCTTTTTTTCTTCATCCTCCTTCGATAAGTAATAGGAAGTAAATGAAGATAAAGTGAGGTATCTTGATTGTTTTTGTAGTCTAACTTATTTTTCCACAGACCACTTGAAAATCGCTGAGGGTCTCGGTGGACCACTTAATGATCTTTCCAAATATTGTTTGTACCATTGTTGTACTGTTAGCTAACTATGGTAAAGCGCTTTGGATAAGAGCGCTTTATAAAAATAAATGTAAAAAAGCTTTGGGGTGCGGGGTCTGGCCAGGAGTTAGGGTGTGGGAGGGGGCTCAGCGCTGGGAGAGGGGGTTGGGGTGTGGAGCATTTACCTGGGGCAGCTCCCGTTTGGTGCGAGGGGTGCAGGTGGGGATGTGGAGGAGGGTGCAGGAGTCAGGGTGGGCAGGGGGCTGTGGCTGTGGGGGGGTGCAGGAGTCAGGGAGGGCAGGGGGCTGGGAGTGTGGGGGGCAGGAGGTGTGAGGGGTTGCAGGAGTCAGGGAGGGCAGGGTGTGTGTGAGAGGGGTGCAGGAGTCAGGGCTGGGAGTGTGTGCGGGGGGTGCAGGAGTCAGGGCTGGGAGTGTGTGGGGGTGCAGGAGTCAGGGAGGGCAGGGGTTTGGGGTGCAGGGTCTGGGAGGGAGTTAGGGTGCAGGAGGGGGCCCCGCCTTTGCTCCGCCCTGCCCGATTCCACCTCCTTCCCCAAGGCTCCGCCCCTGCCTCTTCTCCGCCTCCTCCCGCGAGGGCGCTGTGGCCCCGCTCCTCCCTCTCCCTCGACCTGAGTGCCAGCAAACAGCTGTTTGGCAGTGGGGGAAGTGCTGGGAGGGATGGGGAGGGGCAGGAATGCTGCACGCTCGGGGGAGGAGGCGGGGGGAGCTTGGTTGCTGGTGAGTGCGGAGCCTGCAGCAGGAGCCTCAGGAGCCGGCAGGACCAATCTTTTGCCCCCGCATCTGCCCAGCCCTGGGGCCCCCTGTCATTGGGGGGCCCTGTGCCGGGGGGAGGGATAGCTCAGTGGTTTGAGCATTGGCCTGCTAAACCCAGGGTTGTGAGTTCAATCCTTGAGGGGGCCACTTGGGGATCTGGGGCAAAATCAGTACTTGGTTCTGCTAGTGAAGGCAGGGGGCTGGACTTGATGACCTTTCAAGGTCGCTTCCAGTTCTAGGAGATGGGATATCTCCCTTAATTAATATTAGTCATAGCTTTAAACATGGTTGGGCGGATCCTGAGCCGTGGTTGCTAGGCTGCCAAGGTATCTCTACTTGTCCTGCTTTTGCTTCTGGTGAGCTTAATGCCCAGGGTAACGGTTAGTATGTATGTTGTCTAATTACTGGTTGGAGTGCCAGAGCCTTGGGCTGATTTAAAAGACCATAAGGATTAGTGGTAGCCCTTACCCAGCTGTCTGATCCTGAGAATGGTGCATGACTGTAGGAGGTGATAGAGATTCACCCCCATTCCATGAGAGAGAAGTATAGAGCTTACTAGGAGTAGATGCAGCGATCGCATATTAATAGATTCTATGGCCAGAAGGGACCATTGTGCTCATGTAGCCTGACCTCCTGCATAACACTGGCCATGGAACTTCCCCAAAATAATTCCTGTTTGAACGAGAGCTTATCTTTCAGAAAAAGCATCTCATTTGAACAGGGGCGTCTCTATGTATTTTGCTGCCCCAAGCACGGCAGTCAGGCAGCTTTTGGCGGCATGCCTGTGGGAGGTCCGCTGGTAACGCGGATCGGTGGCATACCTGCGGGAGGTCCGCTGGTCCCATGCCTTCGGCGTCCCAGTCGCCGAATTACCGCCAAAAGCCGCGGGACCGGCAGACCTCCTGCAGGAATGCCACTGAAGGCAGCCTGACTGCTGCCCTCACGGCGACTGGCAGGCCACCCCCCGCGGCTTGCTGCCCCAGGCACGCGCTTGGTGCGCTGGTGCCTGGAGCCGCCCCTGCATGTGAATATGCAGACCTCTTTGGATCCCAGTCCTTCCCCTTGTCCTTGCACTGTCCCCATGGAGGTTGCTAATGCCATTAGCTTTCACAGGAGAAGAGAAAGGGCCACTCTAATTGTAGCACAAGCAGAATATTTGTGACCTCTTTGGGGAAGAGTCTCTGGCCAGGAGTTCTGTCTTCCCCCTCCCTCTGCCCGATCTGCAAAGGATGAGAGTCTGTTGCAGCCCTAGCTAGAGAGCGTTACCTCAAGCTGTGGCAGCCCATTCTTTTAGCTCTGGAGGTCCCCAGTGGCTTGGCCAAGAGTAGCATCCATCACATAAGGAAACCACCCAAACTATTTACAGTCCTATAGTGACAGAGGCATGGGGGCGGGGGGAATTTCACCTGAGAGCTAGGAGATGACATTGAGGAGGCACTCAGCACTCACGGGACTGCCCTGACTCCATGATATGGGGGTTAGTTCCTCACAACTGATAGGCAACCACAGGAAATCTGAGAGGGGCAATGTGCGACAACACTCTTCGGGAGAGAATTATTCCAGGAGTGGGTGGGCCAGCTTTTGTGGCCTGCATCATGCGGGAGGTCAGACTAGATGATCATAATGGTCCCTTCTGACCTTAAAGTCTATGAGTCTATGAGTCTATGACAGCTGCCAGGAGACAAGGCCCCTTGAGGATGAACAACCCAATCCCCACCCAGTCAAATGTAGGAGGGAGAAGACAGAACTCCTGGCCAGTGGCTTACACTTACCCCATTGCTCCAGAGGAGGTTTGTCTGCACCTCTCTTCCAAGTCCATGTAGGTCTCTGCAGCTGCAGAGTCCCACCAGATCATGCAGCTCTGGCAGGCTACATACCACTGAAGTGCCAGACTGACGATTTGGAT